ACACACACACACACACACACACACACACACACACACACACACACACATGAAGATGCACCAACAGGGCAGAAACCTACAGGCCCCATTAGATTAAAATGAACTGGAATAGATGATGTTTGTAGTGAATATTAAAAACAACGTGAGTCATCGTCATAGGTGGTTTGAGCGGATACGTTTTGAGAAAATGCACTAATCTCAACCTACCTGGAGGCTAGACAGTAAGTACCTGCTCCCGCTTTCATCTCTGCTCCGATTTAGTGACAGAATAAATTCTTATTTTAGGAAGTCAGAAACGCTATATATAGACTAAAGAAAGCCCTACATTCATGCCTGGATAACTGCCTAAACCCAACCAATCGCACCACAGTCTGAAATTCACGTCACGAACCAACTGCTGCTGTTTTCACTCACCGTCTCGTCGGTGCAGATGGAGTGGACCTGGGTCCCAAACATGACTGCGGTGAAGATCAGAAAGAGGAGACCCTCGAAGCAGAGGATGATGAGGAGGATGACCGTTGCTGGAGGAGAGAAGTTACTGCACTCTGGGGAGGGAGGGAGGGAAAGCAGAGAGAGAGAGATGTCTCACTACAAATACAGCCTCATGGTCGTAGTTTACATCCATGGCTGTCCAGAATGTAACCTCTTCATCATTTCATTCTTTTAGACATTTGTGTGAAGTTGTCATAATTAGCAATATGACTTCTAGAAGCCACAAATGTGATTTGTGAGGTCACAGTGACATTTGATCATCAAATTCTAAGCCACGACTCGTCTCTTTGGAGTATAATCAGACATATCCGCACGTTTGGATGTTGGTAAAACAGTGCAGTCCCTGAGTGAATCTGGACATTTAGCAGCCACTTCGTCAGTATATCACTTACTTGTCCAGTCTTCTTCAAAGCAGAACACAAAATGGAGGGCAACCAAGATTAGCGCATGGAAGGATACTAGTGCAATATACATCTGGGGGGGGAGAGAGCATAACAAAGCATAAGATTTGGTGTTCAGATAAGATTCTTTAAATAAACAGGTGTGAGGCACGGGGACATCCCTTTTGCTGATGTGAGAATGAGCCTGGTGACCGGAATGCGGACATTATTTCTCTGTTACGTTTAAAATGATTTACTCAGCGTTTTTTTCTTGACCATCTGTGTGTTCTCTTGTATTGGCTTATTTATTAAAAAAAACAAACTGTGTGCAACAAAAATAAGACATTGTTTTTGCGCGGTAACATCGGGGCTCCGGTGTACCAAGGACTCACCGTGAAGAGCACAAAGTATTTCTGGTTGCTCTCTCCGACACAGTTGTTCACCCAGGGACAGTGGTGGTCCATCTTCTTGATGCAGCGTTTGCACACACTGTGGACACATGAACATAAAGGTAAAGAGGACGACACGGAGTAATAAATATGTTGTGTTGACATACGACAGTGATACGACTGGACTCCTCTCGATCAAGGTGGCTTGACTGTGTCCGTATTTGTCTGCATGTGTGTGTGTGTGTGTTACTCAAGTAAGGTCTGGCATCCTTACAATCTATCATCTGACAAAGCAGGAAGTCACACTCCATCTATTTGTGTGTTTTGTTTGCACGCTTTCTGAGTGAAATCTATATTTAAAAAGCTGCCGTCTCTTGCGTGTAGTATATTATTATTACGGGTCATTAGATGCGAGTGTATCATCTCGGTGTCATCATCTCAACCACCAACAACAATGACTCATAAAAAAAAAATCATCTATTTCGTTCACACTGACATTATCCCACCGAGACAGAATGACTCACTGGCTCTACAATTCAATTTACGCTGCAGTGTTTTTGTGCTTTTCATGCCTCGAGATCCACGGGGACCCACTGAGCAGCCACAGAGGGAACTCCTTATCATCCACCTGCAGGGGAAATGCTCCACAGCTACTCGGGATAAAGCACACACAGGGGAGGCAGGAGCAAACACAGACGAGGGAGAGGGCTTTTCCTCTGTAAGGTGCGGACCTCAGCAGAACACACTAATCGCCCGGACCTAGATCCTAACAGTTGCAGAGTTTGCGATCTTCCCTCACAATCTGTGCATTCACAGGGAGTGCCGTACCTGCAGTGGTGCGCTCTGTCGGGCTTTATGCTGCAGCACTTGGGACACTTGTACACCACCTGTCCTGGTTTGAGCTGCAGGCTTTCGATGAATTCTTTGGTAGCGTTCCCTTTAGGCACGGCTCCCTGAGAGAGAGAGAGAGGGAGACAGAGAGAGAGAAAAATGAGTAGGAATTCAATTGTATTTTACAGTGTTTCCTTGTCATTCATTTAGCTGCAGGAGCTCCTTAAAGATGGAAATTGTCTTTCACAGTAAAGGAAAAAAAAGTAACCCAATCAGAGTCTGACTGACCGGGTCTGTGCACATGGCCTTGGCGTGAGAGGCGAGGGCGAGGATGGCGAGGCCGTTGAAGATCACCCCGTTGAAGAGGCTGTAGATGACGTTCTTGGCGGGCAGCAGCATGACGAACATCACCACAAACTCGGCGTACAAGACCAGGAACCAGGTGATGACGCCGCACACGATGCCGCAGCCGTCGCGGATGAACCACATGGTGCCGGAGCCGTTGCGGGGCGGGGGAGGGGCGCAGTGCTCGGGCCTCAGGTAGCCAGCCTGCCTCTCGATGTCCCTGGTGCGGTGCGCCGGGCTCTTCATCCTACAACGCCCGGGGCTCCGACCGCATGCTGCGACGAGGGACAGATGGAGAGGAAGAGGCGGAGCAGAGAGATGCGGAGAAAATGAAAGAGAGCAATCGGAGAATGAGGTGAGGGATTTGGATGTGGGAAGGTATCAGTGTAACAACAATTGTTTTTGCATGCCAAAATAAACAGACTTCTTCCCGCAGGCCGTCACTCAGATGAGCACTTAAATCAGTCATACATTGTCAATAACCCTGTAACACTGCTGCCATTATAGATTTTACAGTTTTTAACGCACCATTTCTTTCATATGCACATTTCATCTGTCACCGTCAATGTAAATCCCACACACTCTACAGGATATATGTATACATACACATAATCATACAGTCCATGAATATCCACTCAATATGTATTTATTTGCACTATTTGTATTACATAACACTTGATTTGTACATAGATGTTTTCTTTTATTCTAATGTTTTATTTTGTTGTTGGTAATTGGTGCTTTTTATACCTATTTATTCACATACTTGTGTACATAATTAGCCTTTACCTATTTTTTTTCCAGCTTTGTTGTCTTTGTTCCCAGCTGTTATGTCTATTTCTGTGTACATTGAGAGCAATGCAAAAACCGGAGGCAAACTCCATGTACTCTAATGGTCTGTGAGAAAAAAGTGGTAAATGTGCCGCACAGTTTTCTGTGTGACACTTACAAATGTCTTGTTTTTTCCCACCAACATTCAACACCCTCATAATTATAGATTTACAGTCATGTAAGACAAATAAAAACTGTGAATCCTCACAGAACAGAAGCTGGAACTTGACTTAAAAATGCCTTAAATGGGGGCAAAAGCCCCCCAAATATATTTTTCTATTATTATAAAAATAAATAAAAAGTGTTTCCTGTCGATCTACTAATTGACTCAGCTCTATAAAAGTGTCCTTGCTGCATTGCAGCAATATCACAGTGTAAGAGTGCTGTACCACAACAATTAAGAGTCTGTGCGAACTATCTAATACGTGTTCTACATCCTCGAGGAATACAAACAAAGATAAGGGCTAATAAGTCCACAGTGAGGACAATACACAGCAGGATTAACTGAAGGAGGACAAGCAGTGATTGGCCTCATCCCAACAGGACAAACAATCCACCCAGATTCCGCCGGCAGTGAAATGAAGACGCCGTTGTTGGATTCGGAAACTGCAATTCACCATTTGGCCTTAAAAGTGAACCAAAAACAATGCTTCAACTAAACAACCTCCCCAGTTGTCCCGAGCTGCACCGGGACCTGAGGTTTGTGTCCGAGCCGTATGAATAAGCAATTGGGCAGGTCTGAGAGTGTGAAGGCGAAGATGATGTGACTTCAAAGGGGGTAAAAATGTCAGAAAACCAAAAATAGACCTCCCTATTATATGCCGATAACATGGACTGGAATCAAACAGCTGATTCCCGGAGGGCGGCTGGACCTCGGCGCCCGTCTCCTCCCTAAAACCTGAGTTTATACTGAGCGCAGTGAAGTTGGTCATTCCTGAGGACTCAGTATATCCATGAGGCTTAACTGAGCGATAGCATTTACGGAGGCTTCCCCCGAGGACAGGTATTTAATCAGAATGGAAACGATAGAGTTTCTATGGCACGTTTGGGATGGAATAAATCAAAGCTTTCTCTGGATATAGCCAGGTTCAGATAATACTCCCGACTGCAACAATTCTAGCAATTCAACTCTGAAAGCAATTGGGAAAACGTGGGCATTGTCTTGATAACAATATATATATATATATATATATATATATATATATATATATATATACACACACTTTGTGGTAAGAATGGCTATTTTTAAAATGCAGTAGGCACGACCCAAACCCTGCTGCGTAGCCTCTTGACCCGTTTCACCACGCTTGTCACCACCCAGCAGGAGTCGGGCACAGTGGGAGGTCATTGTCTGGTGTGTCTGCGAGTATCACTTTCACTAGAAGGCTGGGATGACTGAACAATCTGGCTAGTCTCCAGTGGTAGGCACACTAAATATATTTGCACACATACTGTACTTAAGCACAGTGCTTGTACTTTAGTATTTTCATTTTATGCTTCTTCATATTTCCAGGCAACTTCAGCTCATTCATAATGCTGCCATCAAAGACAGAGAAAAGCTGAACACATCCCATCAGTTATCAGAATGACTGTCTCTTACAGTATGAACCCTCTCAGGTCAACTATTAGCATCGTGCTACCCGTGCACAACAATTTCTAATATTTTATTTTGCATTGTTTTAGAATGATGTTCCTTTTAAACTTTTGAATGTAAAGCACTTTAAATTATCTTTGTGTATGAATTAGCTTGCCTTAAAAGCAGTATTAGTTTGTAGACATAATGCAGATTACGATTTTGTTTACAAAATATGACACTTTGTTTTAGTCTAAAACTAACATTATTTCCACCTTGACCGGCTACGACATTTGCTTGTTGCTAATAATCGGAGAAAAAAAAAATGGAATTTAATTAATTTCTTACACAATTATATTCCCTATTTGAGATGAGGCATCACAATCCCTGAAAATGTGGACTTCCTCAGACCGACTTGCCACACAACTTGTGAGCACAGGATATATATTATTTAGGCTGTTTCCCTTATCTATAAAGTCACTGTAGGATTTTACAATTTCATCACAAGATCTTGGACAATGCTTGTTAAACAGGTTTAGTTTCACCAGTCAAGCTAACGGCTGATGATTCATGATTCATCTGACTGTTTACCAGTTTATCAGCTGGGGGGGGGGGGTAGCCCATTTCAAGAAAGTCGTGTTTCCGGTATCGCTTGATAACGACAGTAATTGTTATCTGAACTGCTTTAACGTTTCACTCCATTGGAAACAAAGAAGCTTAGATGACGCTAAAGAAAACAGGTTTACTGAAGATGCCGATGATTGGACAAGATAGGACTTCCTACAAAAAAGTGATGAAAGTCCTCGAGCAAAACTAACTGCACATCCAGAGTTCATTAACACAGACTAAGTCAATAGTGTCTTTTTTTTGGTAGAGTGGAAAATGAGTCTATAGATTTCTCTTCTTTTTTTTTTTTTTACAACTGAATGGCTTGATTGTTACAGAGACGCTTTACAGAACAGCCTCCTTTTCTCCTGAGTCGACCCGGAGACGCTTCTGTGTTGAGATGCTACCAGAACGCTGCCTCTGCAGTACTGTAAGATTAGATGCACTATGTGATTCACACTGTAACGGGGACTCCCTGATTCAAAATGTATGCGCGGCGGCACAGTCGGATATTCAATCAATGATTCATGGGTATGTTTGATACCCTGCTGCTAGAATGCATTTCAAAGTACCTGACAGCACTGACTGATGGCAGGATGAGAGGCACGAAGAGAGATGCGATGTAGAGATGCGAGGCGGCTGGATTTGACCTCCTGTTGAGTTAATTAACGCTCTAATGTGATTTCACTTTACTGATGACCTCCTCTGGCAATCTACAGAGCGAACCACTTCTGATCTCACTTGGATTGGTTTTAGTGACACATTTTGAGAGCTTGGTTTTAGTGCACAGACGTGTGTGACCCCCGCCAGATTCTTTGGTATTCGTGGATTAACTACATGAAACAGACCAGAGTGTCAACCAGATACTGGTTGACAGGTGAGGTGTCAGTACGCAACAGTTTCTCCTATCACAGCAGTCAGAATTTATGACCGCGTCTAAATACTGTGGAGGCGCCATTTTTACAGCTGGTTTCAAAATAAAATGTGATAATACGCTATATGATAAGATACCAATGTGTGCAGCTGCAAACTAAACTGAAACTCCTAACTGGGTCACAGAATGTTGGTAGACCACTTACATTATACTTGTTTATAATACTGTTATCTGTTTGTTTGTGCACTATATGTTATTGTAAACTTTAATATGTTACTATTTTTAGCACTGTGTTGATTGTTGTATGTTATGCACCACCCGCCATGTCAGATTCCTTGTATGTGCAACATACCGTGGCAATAAACGGTTCTGATTCTGATTCTGAAGTAAAACTAGCAACCTGTGTGTGAACGTTGAACTTGGCCACTTGGCATGCAGTCTTTGTAGAGCGGTGCAGGAATGAGTCCTAAAACCCGGAAAATGAGTCCGAATTTTTTGCACTTCTTGTTCCCTCGTCTCAAAGTCAACCGTTTTTTGGTCAGATGCCTAAAATGCTGTCTGTTGTCAACACAAGCATAACATTTTTTTCGTTTCACGATACAAAATGCGACAGTAGATACACCTATGGTGAAATTTTAAGCTTTTACGTGACTTAAAAAAGGCCGTTTGCTATCAAGCGGCTAGATGAGACGACAAAACGTCATCAAGGCGGACTCCGCCGTCACAGCCTCGTCGTGTATACTCACGCTCATGTGACCGTGGTGTCGTTCGTTTATGGCCTAACGTTAGCTTTGTCCCTTCTGGCGATTCCATTCACGCTTCAATGATCATAAAAGTGGTGCTCATTTAAATGTCAGTATCATAAACTTATGTTTGCCACAGAACTTATTTTCAGCAATAATCCAAAATTCAGCGGAAAAATCCCATTAGATTGTAATTTCTGGGATTAGCCTCCAAAAGTACATCAATGGGTGATGTGATTTAGTCGTGAATAAGAGACACACACCAAAGTGTGTTGGGACAACGTCATAGAGGTGAAACGATTAGTCAATTAATCACAAAATTCATCTGCAAATATTTAAATATTCGATTAATGTTTCAAACGTTAAATGATGCAATCTCAGATCGCAGCCCTGAAGTTTAAAACATTTAGTAATAACTTTTTAACTTTTTTTGGTTTGAAGTATAGGGTTGCAACTAATGATTATGAGCAGAGATTATAAGCGTCAGTCAGTGAAGATGTGTTTTAAATTTCATCTCCAACAACCTCTGAGAAATAATATCTGGGTATATATCGTGTTGGATGCTTGACTTTCTAATAGTTGCATCTCAAAAGTAACATGAGTACTATAATAGTGCAAAAACACTGCGGAGTGACATATAAACTAGCATGCAACTAGATAAGATAAGATAATCACTCATTTATTAAAGCTTGGTTGATTTGATTTAGTGGAGGATAACTAAGACACAACCTAAAATATGTTGGAAAACTTAATGGAAAATCACTTCAAAATCACAGTCAAAATCTCCAAAGTGCCCTTGAGCAAGACTCAAGCGAAATTGACCTCCCTGAATATGGGTGAGCAAAAAGGGAAATGATCTTGTCATGCCCAGTGGGGGCTGTGCAGTTATTAAGGCATCATAGGGCCATAATTAATTAACTTCCAGAAAGCGATAATGCTATCAACCCGACCAGGAAGTGACAGGCAGCAGGAGCAGCATATCTGGACTTCCATTAGTTCATAGCTGATAAGTACCATGCAGAGTATTTCAATAGTTACACGTCCACTGTCTTTTTCTTCAAACATACCTCTCACTCTCTAGGTTTGTGGAGAAAAGTTCCTTGAAGTCTTCGCGTAGTTTCGAGCCCTGGGAAGTTAAAAACACAGCAACGTGTCTCCTCCGCCGCTCCGTCTGTTAGCGCAATCCCAGCTAACCTCACTGATCTGCGGTCAGATGCTCCCAGCTGCTCGGCTCGGCTCGGCTCGCGCGTTCTCTGCCGCCTCGGTTTCGACGAGGTGTTAATTCACCTCGTTCGTGTGCTAATCACAGCGGGGGACAGAGCACTAAAACGGGCCGTTACCTAACTACTGCCTCGCTTCCTCTGTGAGATCCAGAGAGCTTTGCGTGCAGCGGTCTAGCGGAGCAACACAGCGCAGAGCGAAGCAGGAAGTCCGATACTCTCCACCGAGGGTGTTCGTGCCCTGAGCAGGGTCTACCAGGCAGCAGTTTCTCCCACTATGTTGACTCAATACACACTGCCCTTATTTTTGGATAGTTTCATTAATTTGTCTTTCTGAAATGCAGAAACGCGATACTGGGGGGGTCCTGTTCATATCCTTAGTTCAACTGCTATTCTATCAGCCCCAGTGCATTTCACATTGTACTGCATTAAAGACGCTCCTTGAAAAACCTAGAAAGTAATTTAACAACACATTCCTCCATGGACGGATTAATAATACATGATAATAATACATTTTATTTATTGAGCGCTTTTCATAATTCTCAAAGACACTTTACATTAAAATCATGAGATAAAAGAAAGCTATACACTACAATTTTAAAACGCATAATATCGGTCACACATTAAAAGCAGTTCTGAATAGGTGGGTTTTGATTTGTGATTTGAACATGGAAAGGTCAGTGCAGTCTCGGATGTGTTTGGGGAGGGAGTTCCTGAGGGAGGGGGCAGCTATGGAGAAGGCTCTGTCACCCCATGTCCAGTGCTTGGTCCTGAGTGGAAGGGACATGAGTTTGACATCATAGGAGCGGAGCCGACGGGATGGAGTGTGGTGGTGAAGCAGGTCGGTAAGGTAGGAGGGTGCCTGATTGTGGAGGGCTATATGAGTGAGGAGAAGGACTTTGTATTGTATTAAGCTGTGAGGAGGCCCATTATTATAAAAATAAAAACTAAAAAAGATGCGTAATGATTGTATGCTGCTCTATCTGATAAATGACAATGCTATTTAGAAGGTATTTTTTCTGATTTTGGAGAAAATAAAACATATTTTGCTATAAGTAAACACAGCTGTCAATACGTAAACATTCTGGAAATAAAGAAGTTATATGTATTTTTAAATGTTCCTGTTTTTGTGATTTGTTAAAATGTGTAGCACAAATACAAATTCCTCATTGAAGAAAAGAAAATAATTAAAGCCCAAAAAAGGCAGGTGGCTCCTTGTTTCTTCCGCTTTCTTTGCAATTCTTATACGTTCTTCTACATTACAATGCGACCTGGCACTTGGTTGGCTTTGTGGCAGGCTTTTTAAACACAGTTAATACAAGAATATGCATCAAGTAAGCATACAACTGAAATAACTAGTTGTTTTAATACCATACACAGCTGAAAACCTAAAGGGCCCCTCTTCTAGACAGAGCCTCAATGAAGCAGGGAGACCCACCTTGAGGCGCTTATTGTGTCTGTTGATATTTTTCCTTTAGTGGTGTATCTTCCTACATTTTTTTTGCACTTAAGAGTTGAAAACACCTGTTGTCGGTAGCCTGTGGTCCTGGGGGCCCCAGGACAGTTGTCAGCTTTGCCTGTAGTAAGCAAGCCTAACAAATTGTCATAAATGAATTGCCACAATCTGAACGTGGGGTCTTTATTCATCCAATTTCTGTTTTATTCTCTCTAACCAAGTGTTCATTCATCATGACGAAGATTAGTTCCACTTTCTCAAAGGGCCAACTACGAAGCCCCAACTGCCATAAAGCCTGACTCAGCGGTGCTAAAAAAAAAAAAAACACACTTACAGATCTGGAATCAGTTACAGCTTCACTGCATGCATATACAAAACAATACAAACTTGTTTTAAAGACAGAAACTCTGATTTTATGAAGTTATACGACATAATGAGTTATGTTTTCCTAAATTAAGCAACACATTATCCTAAAATAGTGTATCAAAGTTGTTTATTATTATTTTTTCAGAGGCCTATCCCTCTCACGCAATAGTCACATAACTGCGCCGGTTGGGCGGGGTCCTCTAGCTTCCGGAGGTTGATTTTTGAACAAATAGCGGGACATCCGGGTGAGCAAAAGATGTGGGGCTCGTGCATGGGCTTCTACGCCGTCTTTTGATGACGTAAGAAGAAGCGCGACACACACATGCTATCAGTGCTTTTTACACTATGGCAACAGTAAAAGTTAGCGAGGCTGAAAAGGTGTACATCTTACACGGTATACGGGTAAGTTTTTCACAGCTAATATTCAGCCCTCAACCTATTTTAGTCAAGAAGATTTCGACAAATGTCAGGACGGTGATTTGTGCTCTGAAACGGCGGGAAGCTAAAGTTAGCTGCGTCTTGTTGACATGTTGATTCTTTGAATCAGGATGACTTACGAGTGGACGGAAGAGGCTGTGAGGACTACAGACACGTGGAAATAGAGACCGATGTGGTGTCCAACACGGACGGCTCCGCCAAAGTCACACTGGTAACGATATGATAAATACAGCAGAAGTCATCCACGTTGGCTCATTTTGTGTTTACGCTCTGGAACTGTTCATCTGGGCACCATCAGTCCCTTGTCAACACTTCCATTTGCACAAAACGTTACTCCCTCGAGCTATATCTATCTAATGTGTACTATCTTCATTCTGGCTTGTAATTGATCAGAACGGTTGACTGATTGATAATGTATTATTTTCTGAAGTATTCTGTTCTGTCTCTCTTTCAGGGCCACACAGCGGTTCTAGTTGGGATTAAGGCTGACATCGGTAAACCGAGGCCCATGGTGCCAAACGAAGGCTACTTGGAATTCTTTGTAGACTGGTAGGTACGGTCCATGTTGTTATGAGGAAATTATTTCATAAACAAAGGCTTATTTTTATAGATTTGGCCACCAAACAAAACAATTATGAAGACATTCTACTTACCACCTTTTAGGAGGCGATATGGATAAAACAAATGGTGTATGTAATTCTATATCATAGTATCTTTATCATTACCTGTCATGATATACAGATTTTTCTGTATATAAATAAAATAGCCACACATGGGCTATGTCTGAAACCACTTCCTATTTACATTTTTTCCTGTAACCAATTGTTAGTAGTGTTTGGATGGAGACCCTGCCACAAAGAGGTAGTGTTGTATCATCAGCTCCTCGTGAGATGAATCTCCTACACATCCCAGTGATTATGGACTCGCCAAAGAAAATATTATCATGTTACTACTATTATATCCAGAAACGTGTGGAGAACGGTAGCAGAATCAGCCAGTATTCCCACTGACTCAAGTAAGAATAAAACCTCTCTGACTGACGGATGCTACGTCACTTCACATGCTTATTGTTTCGCTTTCGCCTTCTAATCATCAGTTCGGCCAATGCAACCCCCGAGTTTGAGGGCAGAGGAGGCGAGGAGCTGGGGACGGAGCTGAGTAACACGCTCTACAAAGTCTTCAACAACAAACACAGCGTGGACCTGAAGAGCCTCTGCATCAGTGCAGGAGAACACTGCTGGGTCCTCTACGTGGATGTGCTGGTGAGTGGTCCGATGATGTCGTTCGCTTTGGCGTATGGCAATGCAACCAATGGCGATTGGCCCGGGTGACCCACTGACGTGTTTCCACAGCTCCTGCAGTGTGATGGAAACCTGTACGATGCCATCTCGGTAGCTATCAAGGCAGCTCTCTTCAACACAAAGTAAGAGAGATGTTATACTGGTCTTTAAGATCAGATTGCTAAATCCTACGCTCTCTTCCAGCTGTCATGCCTCTGATTCCTGTTCAGTAAAATGAAAGCATACAGTCTTCTGATTTCCTTACTGACAGAATTCCCAAAGTGCACATATCAGCTGACGAGGAAGGAGCGAAGGAAATTGAGCTGTCGGATGACCCGTACGATTGCATTAGAATCGATGTCGAAAACGTTCCTTGTATAGTGACGTTGTGCAAGGTACGCTCACCTGCTCATACTCAGAAGTGGAAAAAAAACAACCTTTTATCACACAAACCATGACATTGGTTTTGTTTACAGGTGGGCCACAGGCACGTAGTGGATGTGACTCTGCAGGAGAAGGCCTGCTCCGTGGCGAGCCTGATCATCTCTGTCACACACAAGGGCAAGGTCACCTGCACGAGGAAGGTGGGCGGAGGCAGCCTGGATCCAGAGAGTATCTTTGAAATGACAGAGGCGAGTCAAGTGCTTCCTCCTCGGCCATCTGGCTCCCTCCAGGTTTTTTTAATACGATTACGCTGTGCGGTAGAAAGGTACTTACGTGTTTTGTTGTCTCCAGGCAGGTAAACGGGTCGGGAAGGCCCTTCACGCTCCGCTCATGAAGCTGCTGCGCCAGGAGGAGAGTTTAGGAAAGACGCGACAGAAAGTTGGCTTCCTTGGTTAACATCAACTGCTGTAGCTACAGTTTGTTTGTACATGAATACAGAATTTTCTTATAAAACTTTAAATTTGTACGGCCTTCTTGTCTTTGTATTTAAATGTAGAAACACTGTTATATGGTGTTGCTGTTTTAACACATTTCTCCCCAAAATGTAAGATCTGGTGTAAAGATCCTGTACAGATCCATTTCATGATGAAGACAATAAAAAAATAAAAAATAAAAAAAAAAGTATGCTACGGACATTATAGAGGGGCTATATTTCACACAACATCAAGTAGGTCCATCAGATAATGTTTCTGAACAGTGTCTTTTACCAAATTTCCCCCTGGGGATGAATAAAGTATCTATCTATCTATCTATCTATCTTGCACAAATAACTTGCTAGCTTAAGTTCATGATATTCACGCCTCCATGCCAGCGATAGCTGTGGTCGGAGGCGTTATGATTTCGGGTTGTCCGTCCATTCTCGTGAATGTGATATGTCGGGGACGTCTGAAGGGAATTTCTTCAAATTAGGCACAAATGTCCAACTCTGTATCAAGGAAGAACTGATTCGATTTTGGTGGTCAACAGTCACCGTCGCCTCACAAAACACATTTTTGGCCATGACTAAAGAATTTCATATAAATGTCTAAAATGATGAAATGACAAATTTCTGTACAGACATGGATGTAAACTGCAACATGGGTGGTTAACTCAAGTTTTAAACAAAGAGGATACTATGAAAAATTAAATAAACGCACAGGGAAAGTCCAGTCTCTGCGTCCTTTTGTTTCTGCCACGTGTCGGTGTTACAGAAAGACCAGATGTGACTCTGGATCACATCCACTCTTCCCTCAGACTGTTGTAGGGTGTGTGCGCTGGCTGAGAGCGGACAGGTCCTAAACAAACGCCTATTTATGGATAGAGCTCTCGCTGCAGATTTTAAACGAGAAAACGTGTGCAGAGAAGTGTTTATGAAATGTTACAAAACTTAAAATAAGGGACAAATACCTAAAGAGGTATTTCAAATCTGCATAAGTGACTTCACAGGTTATGGTTACTGAGTTTTTCATTTCAGTGCTTTACTGCTGCCAAAAAACAAAGATTTTTCCAAATGAGGCCATGCCTAAAGACTTCCAGAACACCTTTTGGCCTGTTGTTTTCTCGTCAGGTTCAAGCTAGTCTTTTAAGCCAAGTTATTCAAGCATTTATGCAACATGTCAGTCAGGGTTTGTTTATTTCTTTTTTCATATACTTTGATGAAAGCTCCACTGGATTACGTCATAACTGCTTCACATCATCTGCCAGTCTCCACCTGCTTTCCAGACCTGGTTCTGGTTTGTACTGGCCCTCCATGTGAAGCGTTTGGGGCCAGATGAGACAGACACAGACACACATACACACCCCATTCTTTAAGGCTCCTGAGGTCAGATTGTTTTTCCTGCAAATGGCAGTTTTGGACTTCAGTATTTTTCCTTGTACGGAGAGATGAGAGAGGGGGGGAGAGAGAGAGAGAGAGAGAGAGAGAGAGAGAGAGAGAGAGAGAGAGGAGGATAAATTGCAAGCGTAGCCGTTGGAGCAGCCTCATTCAACAGGTCTCAGCATGGAGTTCAAAGCCGTGTGTGTGCTTCTGGGAGTACTGCTACTGGTGAGCTGCTCATGTCAGCAGACTCCAGCGAAGAAGAAGCCAGCGAAAAAAGGTAGACAGAAAACATTTGGTTCACCACAATCTGCGGGGAGGATTATTTGAATATCATATTTGTTATGATATCTTTGAGATCCCTCTGTCAAATATAATTGTCTAATTTCCCTTAAACCTTATGATGAAATGCTCAAATCACCTTGACAAGAGATGATTCAAATCCAAATGTCTGATTTTGATTTTTCTCATGTCTCTGGTGTTGGAATCAGACACAGCAAAGGATGCTGCCATCGAGGAGCTACAGAAACAGGTCAACGACATCGTCCACGAGCTGAACATACTGAAGGAACAACAAGCCCTGCAGACAGGTAACAGCTGGATCATAAGTTTGATCTTGTTCACATTAATAAAGGAGTACAAATAATTCCACTAATAATGGCTTCATTCACCCAAAAGTGCCCTAACACCAGGACTTGATGGAGTCTGCGTACAGACAAAGCTTTAGGCAAAAGGAGCAGCTGCTTAAGCCCCAGGTATACTGTACCTTCCAAAGACAAAATTACAAAAAGCTTTACAATCAAACAAGGAATACAAAGTAAATAAAACCGGAAGCCTAAAAGAAGAAAACAAGATCAAATTATTATAAACAATTATGAAAAAAACCATCAGATAAGACAAAGCCACAAGAATAAAAATGAGTTTGAACAAGAGATTTAAAAGAGCGTGCTGAGTTTGGATTCTCACAACTGAGAGGCTCAAAGGTCACCCTAGGAGACATGGCACGATTTTGGAGAATTTAATTGTTAACTTGAATCAAATTACCAACACACAGAAAGACTGTTGCCAGGCTCTTCACCACTTTTACTTGCTGAGGTGTTCTTGAGCAAAATTAACTCTTTGGACATGCAATTCTACTTTATGATCACCAGAGTAGGAGGACAAGCAGTCATTGGTATCACACTAATTGGATTACAACGTGAGCATTTTAAGGGATTTGCTGTTTGGATTTATTGACGGCATGACATGAGCTACATTGTTCAGCGTGAAAAATATGTAGGCTACTCAAGTTCAAGTGGACAACCTGAGGTTTGCTTCTGCTAAAAAATGAGTTCAGATGGGCTACATGTGTAGTCTTTGGAACTAGTTTGAACCTGGAGGGCACATGGCAAACCCCAAAAATGATATCCGGTTGTTCCTGCAAATCCTAAAATGTTTTTCTGTCATGTTGATCATGTCTCCAAAACTACCACAGGACTGCTTTTATTATTACCAAAGGGCAGGATGCCTGTAAACTAACCACATCTGCTCCCTTTTGTTGTTCCTCTTCAGTCTGTTTGAAAGGCATACAGATCCATAACAAGTGTTTCTTGGCCGACACTGTGAGAAAACGCTATCACACTGCCAGCGAGGACTGCAACGCCATGGGTGGTGTCCTCGGCACGCCCACCTCCAGCGAGGAGAACGACCAGCTCAGAGACTACGTCCGCCAGAGCATCGGCCCGGACGAGCAGGTCTGGCTGGGCGTCAACGACATGGCGACCGAGGGCACCTGGGTGGACCAGAACGGCTTCAGCATCACATTCAAAAACTGGGACACGTCCAACTACCGGTCCCCTCAGCCGGACGGAGGCCAGGCCCACAACTGCGGCGTCCTGTCCGGGGCCTCCCGTGGGAAGTGGTTCGACGAGAACTGTCGCGAGGAGAAGCCGTCCGTCTGCCAGTTCAACATCGTCTGATCGCATGCATCTCGTCATAGAGTTTGCAGGGTTATAGCCGCTTTCAGTGTACGTATTGCTGCAACGCCAGTCTGCCTGCTGCTCCAAATCAAGCTTTAAAGCAGTGGTTCTCCGCTGCTTTCGCATCAGGACTGAATTCTAATTTAGAAGTTAGCCGCATGACACATGCGGGTTATTTTTGAGTAAAGTGATCTGGTCTGAGTCATTCGAAGCGACCCTCGTGGTCACAATAAAACTAGGATTAACACAGATCAGGAATTAACTACAGATTTTTGTACAGCTTGTTCTATTGTTTTCCCCCCAATCACTTTAAGACATTTATATTGGATGTTCATAATTCACAATACCAGTACTCCTGCAATAAAAGATGTGTGGGTGCTGGCACCTTTCACAAATGTAAAAACTGGGTGTAACTTTCTATTGTTTCCACACATCTTTGTTGTGATTCACTGGTTGAGAACCACTAGTTTAAACCCAGACATCCCTTTACCAATACTATATTTTAATGACAAATCAATGGAGCGAGAACTAGAAGAGATATTTCATGAACATGTAACAACTCAATCTTCAGCCGCATTCTTTTAAGAAATTATTTTCGTTTACTAGCCTTGTAGTCTCCTTCAATGTCTATAGCCTGAAAAATGAACATCAATAAACTATGAAAACCCATTCCTCTTGTCATGTTCTTCAAGGAAAAGTTTGGGGAAATATGCTTATCAGCTTTCCTGTCGAGCGTTAGATAAGATTGATACCACACGTTTACAAGGGGTATCAATCTTCTTGTCTGACTCTCAGCAAGAAAGTGCGTGCTTCACAAAAAGTCCAACACTATTCCCGAAAGTCAAACGGCTCCAAACTGAAAGAGAAAAACAGAAATGCAGACTTTAAGATTCGACATCTGCAGTTGCAAGAAATGTGGCGCAACTCTGTAATCCTGACTTCCGCATTTGTTGTTTCCAGTAAAAAACACTTCTCCATGATGAACATTGGCTGCACTGTTTTCTGAATTCTTTTCCACTCTCTCCTTCACTTCACTTCAGCTCCTGTGGTTGAAATTGGTTTCCGCATCCAGAATGCAAAAGGTGACTGTTTCAGCATGAGAGGGGGAAATTATGTGTGATGGCATTTAGCACTTTAAGAAGTGAACATTTTCCCCACCAGACCATTTTCCTAGAATTTATTGCAAAAACAAAATTTGTATTTACAGGTAAAGAAAACACAAATCTCTTTAAAAACAAGTAAACAATATAAAAACACTTAAAACATGGACCAGAGGACCACTTTTTCATAGTCCCTGCTCCTGAATCCTTGCCACATGGGCAGAGATTAAATAAAAGCACAAACAAATAGAACATTAAAGGAATAGTTCGGTATTTTTTTGTTTTGTTGTTGCCTTCTCGCTGAGAATAAGACGAGAAGATTGATACTCATGTTTGTACAGTAAGATACAGCCAGCTCACTAATAATTAATATAATAAATCTTGTTTTTTTTAAATAGGTTTAAGTCCGTATGAGATTTAGAGGTGCTGGTCGGTGGATTTTTTTTACCTTTAGACAGAGCCAGCTAGCTGTTTCCCCTCGTTTTTAGTCTTTATGCTAAGCTAACATGCAACTTCTTATTTCGAATACAAAAAGGTGAGAATGGAATCAATCTTCTCATCTAACTCTAGGCAAGAAAGTGAAAAGGCATTTCCCAAACTTCCTTTAAAAGAGCAGTGTGTAGGATTTGGCGTCATCTAGCGGTGAGGCTGCAGAATGAAACCTCCCCTTGTGTGCCAAGCGTGTAAGAGATTCTTATTTTCAGGGGACAATACAATTAAAGAAAACATACTTATTAATATTCAATTCAATTTCTGACAATAGAGCCCCCCCGAATGCTTCACACGGTTCCTTTAAAGAAAAAGGATCATAGCTTGGACTCTTGAGTTTTAGTTCAGACAAAGACAACGCACACATCACATTCAGGAGCTCATCGATCTCAGATTCCCTGAGTGCGATCGAGGCACAGAAGTTCACATCAGTATCGTCCGGAGATCTTCGGCGCTGTAGAGAGAATTTAGTAACAGCGGCCCATTGTGCAGCTACAGTCCTGACACACTACAAGGAGTCCTCCAGTATAGTAGGCGACTGTGGCTCCATATCAACACCAGAGAGCCGGATCGTGTTCATATCTCCTGTGCTCTTGAACGTGTACAGGGCATTGTCCAACATCCTGCGGTCCTGGAAGCCGAGGCTGTCCTGCCGGTCGATGGGAGTGCGCGGACGGGGCGGGAGGAAAGACTCGGACGGGTCCAGGAACATCTTGAACCCGTCCAGCTCAGGCTCATAGTCCGGTTCTTTGATTACAGGCAGCCCTGGATCAGTGGGGCCTGTAAATGTATTGTAAGTGTCGACCGGCCCGCCGGTGAAGTGGTCCGGCATACTGTCGGCGTAGCTGGAGTCAGCCAGCAGGTGGCCGTAAACCCTCGCCTCATCTATGGAGTCGTAGACGTGGGAATCGTTATCAGACCGGATTTTGCTGAAGTGCGCGTCACTTGGGCGGAAGATGTTCCCTTTGCCAATGTAGATGGATGCCTCCTTGGCCATTTTGTCCCTTTTCTTTTTCCTGTTTGAGAAGATGAAGGCAGACCACAAAAAACAAAAGCTGCCAGTTAGAGACCGATCTTACAGAATATAGACAAATAAATATCACTAAGCCAGTTCAAAAACATGTGTGGTATAGAGTCTCAAAACTGAAAAAAACAGTCAAAAACCTAATGGGTCAAAAATAAACATCAATTAATAATATTGTTAGTAAGAATAATAAAGTGTAAATACAGATTTATACTTTTCCTTTAACCTTAAACCAGTTAGTGGTAAAACTAACTTTTTATTGTTTATAGGTTACTCCTCAATTTAAATTTCCCTTTGAAAATGTTCAGCTCTTTAGTTTTCCAGTCTTTTTTTAGGCTTGACAAACATTGTATAATTTATCTGTTATCTAATTAACAATATTATTTTATATTCAATTCAATTCTCAGCTGGTCTGATAATCATTTTGTCAGTTTCAACACTCCGATACTAAAGAGACAATTTAGGAGTAAGAAAAGTTATTTGCTGACAGAATAAAATACATTTAACAAGTGTCTCACTTAAAGGAATACTCAAACTCAACATTTAATATATTGCACAGTCCTTAAAAACAAACTAACATCTTCACAGCAACATGTGGGGCCACTGTGGCTAAGTGGAGAGCAGGGCCGTCCTTCAATTAGAACATCGGCGGTTCGATCCCCGGCTCCGCTAGTCGCATGTTGATGTGTCCTCGAGCCACTTAACCCCAAAAATTGCTCCCGTAGCTGCGCCTACGGTGTGTGAATATGATAGCATCTGATTTGTTTGTCACTTTGGATGAAAGCATCTGCTAAATGACTGTAAACATTTGTGATTGTTTTCTTATTAAGTTGATTACATTTGTGAAAAACCTTTAATATCCAGTGGGAAACACCATGTGAAATAAACAATTACAAATATTTGTAGCAGATAAATGTACAAATACGGATGGATTAGAGGAAACTGGCTGAACTGGAAACAAAAGAAAATCAAACGTGGAGCGGGGGGGGAATTCTGCCACTGTGTCAGAGAAAAAAACGGATAATTTGATCCCACAATGACAAGTGCAGACGAGATGCACAGGAAGTGATTGCAAACTGAATCAGTGCCACCTTTATTCTTGTTGTTTGTAATATTTGTGTAACTTCCGATCAAGAAAGTTAAAGTGTAGGATTGTGACTTTTAATATTTCACCGAAGTTCCAAAGGTTTGATAAATACCGACCCAGATGTTGACAAAGTTCTGCTGCAGGTGTACTCACTTTATGATGAAGCACACAACAGCCAGCACTGTGAGCAACAACAAAAGAGCTCCTGCTAACCCGAGGAGGATGGGCAGGAGATCTGTGGAAGAAAAAAGAAGACGTGGTAGAGCTAAGTCCTTTGCGTTAGTTATTTAAGGTATTGTTTGTTTGTTCGTACAAGGCCTAAATTAGTCCTGCTTGCTTACAGCTCTTCTTCTGCAGAACGATGTTGGTCAGTGCACTAAAGCCTCTCTCCTCTGGTATACAGTTGGACATGTTGAGATAAAAACTACGTGGCACTGTCAACTTGTCCTCCGACTGCTCGTCCTCCCTGCGGCTCATCATCTCCTCCTCGTCCCCCAGCATCTTCACCGTGATGGAGGTGTGCCTGTCCTTGCATTTGGGTTGGCTGACGTTGACAAAGTGCACATGCGCCTCGTACTGGCTCGGAACAGTGACGATCCAGGATACGGTGGACGAAGGCCTCATACCCAGAGGCCAGTTGGGGGTTGCCAGCAGGTTCGGAGACGACGCCACTGGGCTGACTCTGTTAATAATGGTCTCTAAAAATAAAAAAAAGGGATGGAAGTAATGCCGAGTGTCAGTACTGTATCTTCCAGCATTTGTGGTACAATAGTGCCCCTGTGTGAAATTCAAAAGTAAAATGAATGTGCTCTATTTGACCACGTTTACAGAAGAGAATCAAAACATACAGCAACATGACAAATGTGAGGAGGATACAGATACAGATGTTCTTACCATGGCTGCAACAAGCAATTGTTTTCATAGTTTATTAATCAAATCTTATGGTATAAAAAGAAAAAAATCTGAACTTTCTAATTAAAACCACAAAAGGGCCATTATAATAGAGCTGAAAACAATTACAAATACCGAACATTCAAGTACTGGTTAAAATATTATTGGGTTTTGGATTGTTGGTCAAGAAAATAATCATCAAATTAAAATGATCAATAGCTGCAGCCCGCAGCATATCCATGTTTTACCTGTGATCTCTTGACTGACGCCGACGTTGAGGAAAGGCTTCCTGATCTTGCTGAAGTCCGGGACTGTGGCTGTGACGGAGACGTTGGCATGCACCTGAACTTTCTGGATCATTCCGTTGAAGCAGAAATCTCCAACAGGAAACCCGTCGCCCTCTGCCACATGCAGAGAGAGGGACTGATTACACTCCTGGCCGGGCAGGGACTGTTTGAGACTCCCTGTGGGAGACACCAGGTCCACGGTGCTGTCCTGAGGGATTCTGAGGTGCCAGGTGAAGCTGTGGAGGGGCATCGGTAGACAGGAGACCAGTTTGGGCACAGTGAGCTGAGTCGCAGAGCAGGACGTCCTGTTTTGGCACTCTGATATGAAAAAAAAGGCACGAAATGAGAATATGAAGTTTCCAACTAAAGGATCAGCCAGCAACAAATACAAAGGTAACTTGTTGCCTTTGGACAGAGCCAAGCTAGCGGTTTCCCCTTGTTTCCAGTCTTTATGCTAAGCTAAGCTAACTGTCTACAGACAATCTTCTCATCCAACTCTCGGCAAGAAAGCCGATAGCGTATTTCCAAAATGATTTAACAAACTACTCCTTTAAGACTGAAATAGACTTTGTACTTTGACTTTAATATTTCTTTAACCAGGAAACTGTGATGGACTGACTTCAAAATATAAAACACAAAGCCACAAACATTTCATGGACATGCAAAATAAATTCATCTTACCAATAACTTTACTGGCAGTCAGGCGCACATCTTCATTTGGACAGTCGAGGAAGGACAGGCTGGCCTGTGTGCCAGCAGCCACGCTGATCTTCTTTTCAATCTTAGAGTTAACGCTCATCTCACAGAAGGGTTCAGAACCCACTCTCTCTATCTGCAGCGACAGTCCTTTGTGTTCATTAAGATCCACCGTACATAGGACTACGAGAGAAATACAACATAGAAAGATTTTAGTGATCAGGAAAAACTGTGGCATTTCGTTTTGTCTAATTTCTGCATTTAATACTCACAGTATTATGACATAACTTTGCAGAACCACATCACAGTCCGATGGACAAGCAACAAATCTGAGCCAAATTTAGATCTACAAGTCCAAAATGATGGGGTTTTTTTCGGGGTAAATTCATGCACGTTTGGACTCACATAGCCTCGGTTTGTGCCTCATGTATTACCAGTGCATTAAAGTCGCAGTGATAACCTTTAGATTATTCCAAAAACATATACCGCCTTAAAAAAACAACAACAGAAAGTCATTAAACTAAGCTTCCTAAAATTATCAGACTTTTCTCATCATCTGGACGAAAAAATATTCAGTCTGCTGCATGAAAATAATGGATTTGTTTTTTTTTTTTAAATACGGTTTCTGAAGCAGCTGGAAAATAACATTTGTCACTTTCATTGACTACGCAAGCAAATTGGTTTCTCTGAGTCACCTGGTTACTTGAGTGCATGTACTCCATAACATCAGACTCTCAGATGTCAAGTTTTAACACTGTACCTGGATGCCCACTCCTCATTACAGAGACTCTGTAGTTCAAGGTGAGACCCTGTAGCGTCCTGTTGGTTTCACAATTCCTCAGCACCATGTTGAAGTTGCCCTGCCCATGCTGCGGCTGAGAATCCGTCAGAGTCAGCTTGTTCACCTTCTTGTTCCCTTTCTGGTACTCCACCTGCACCTCATTGCTGAGGCACTCTGGAGCTGTGTGATCGCGAAAATGCACCGTGTAGTTATGCATGCCGGGCACCGTGAAGTCCCACTGCATCTGCTGGTTGTCAGGGAAATCGGCGGGATAGTTGGCTGTGATGAAGTCTGTGTCGGACACGCCTCGTGGTAGGTTGACTTTCAGTATGGCAACCACTGAGGAGAAACACGTAGTATTGTGAAGCAGAAGATGTCTTGTTACACTATGTTCAATGTCTTCTAATCATGACACAGAAAACCCCCCAAAACAACATATTTTCTAACTTACTGCTGGTCTCGGGTCCAACCTTGAGTTTGAAGTCAACGGGATCCAGCTTCCTGTCGCCAGGTACCTGCAGAGCTATTCGGCCCCTGTAGCGAGCCAGGATGGTGGTCACAGTTCCCCCTTTGCAAAAGGTACCAATGATTGCTGGCCCCGTGCGCAGATAGGCAATAATGGAGTACGTGTGCTCATCTGGACAGGTCTCCTCGTCAGGAATCTGTCGCATTCCCGGTTCTGGGAAGTCCAGTTGGAAAGCCCGAGTGGCGACAACTTTCAGATCCCAGGTGAAGGTCCGGTTGAAGTCTGGGAACAGTAAGGACTCGGCCTGAACGATGTTTCCAGAGCAGGAGACCTCTGTGCAGTCTGGGATTTGTGGACAAGAGCATGTAAGCGATGGCGATTTAGTTTTTCCAAAAGAGGTTCGTGTTGACAAGGATATAAACAACTGCATCGTTAAAGCATAAAAACAAGTCAAAAGAATTAAGATGAATTATCTGAAGCAGGAAATAATGTGCTGTAGAAGAGTATTCTCAAATCTACAATAAGAAAGAGCATCAATGCGTTTCTTTTAAACTGCAATACCGTCTGATATGGACCCTGTGCTTAATGTCCTACTTCCATTCAGACAAAATAAAATTGTTGTCTTTCGTGAACAATATAGGTGAAATTAGAAACAAACTGACTCAAGTTGGGTGGGATTTAGAGTTAGTTGGAGTTGTGAAAAATGAATTTAACTTAAAGAAAACATCAATACCACATGCTTATTTTTTGATCTTCATACCAATTTCTCTGTTGATCTCCACAGTGAAAACATCCTGAGGTTGAGGACAGGTGAACTCTACTGAGGTGTTGCTATTCAGGGTGAGATGTGTTGGTTTGCATATCTGATCGGGCTCCTTGTTCATACACACACTGCAGTCCGGCTCGCTGGTCTCCCTGCTGATGGCAATGATGGTGTCCGGATCGGGCATCACGGACATCATTCTGCCACCTACAGAAAAAAGAAAAGTGTTAAAATAAGACATTGATCAAATCAAAAGTAATTTCCACATGAAATGTAGTCCACGCAGTCATGTCCCCCTGAGGATGAATTGTAATGACGTTGGTGATCTTGTACCATTTGTTTATGAGTATACACCTGCTAAAAACAGGATAAACTAAGATGGTAAACATTATACCTGCTCAATATTAGCATGCCAACGTTGTCATTGGGAGCAAACTGAGTATTTAGCTCAATCCGTTTTTAGCATGGCTGTGGACTCGTCTTGTTTTGGAAATGTATGTAATTTTACTCTAAAAAAAATACTATTTGCAGAGCATTATCTATATTATTTATGCTTTTAACATGATTTTCATAAGAAATAGCCTTTCATTGTGTTAGAGTGCCTTTCTGACATATGGCACCAGATGAAAGCTAGCTTACTATGCTAGCTCTAGCCTATTCACAGTTCTTGTTATCTGTTGATCAATGATCGTTCCAGTCAAATACAGTAAAACTAAAACCAAAAGCTTTCGTCACCCAACTGTGCCCATAGAAAGAAGTTTACACAAATATGAAAAGTTGTTTCAAGAACATAGCATCAGTTCTTTTGTACATGTCTGATATATTGTATGTATTGTTCTGTAAATAAATCGCTACTTGTTTTCCCCTCTCGTGTAAACAAACTGAAGGACGGACACTTGCCTCTCCGTGCTGCTTTGACAGTGAATGAGTCCACTTCACTTCCTTTGGGCACCTCAGCGGACACAGTCGTCGCTCCGGGCAGATCCAAATGATGAGACACCGTCCCACCCTTACAGTAGCTGGTCGTTTTAATATTTCCTTCACTTTTAGTTGTGCTCACAGAGTACTGGTGTCCATCCTGGCACTTTTCTGCTCCAGACATCTCCTTTAATCCACCAGGGAAGTCCAGAGTTAATACAGTCCTCTGTGGTACACTAATGTCCCATGTTACGGATCTTTTGAAGTCCTTGAAGTAGTCTGGATCAATTCTTCCTGTAGCAGGAGTGCAGGAGCTCTGGGTGCATTCTGCGTGACAAAAAGTTAAAATATTTGAATTTTACACAGTTAAACTGGCTTTTTGTGTGTGTGTGTGTGACTTTTTGAGTCAAAAGACCAATCTGAATTTATATTTACCTATTAAAAGAGTAAAAAAAATGCTCTCAATCATGGTGGCTTTTTTAAAATAAAGAAATGAATAACGGATTGTGGAAATGTAAAAATAATTTACTCATTTACCAACATTAATTTTGCATTTAACTTGTGTTTTCATTATAGCTTCTATTCATGTAATATTTTATCTATTAAGTAAAATATTTATCAAATTATTTCTGTATGTATTTCAGCATTTATTTAAGCCTTTATATTTAAACAAATTAGTGGTGATTAAGTAATTTTTGTTTTCCACATGTGAGAATTTGATATGAGGTGAATAAAAAGATTACCAATCCCAAATTCTGCTTTGTGACTGAAGTAAATGTGGACACGAAGCATCCACAGCTCTCACCTATTTTCTTCTTCATCGTCACGCTGTACACATCCTGAGGATTCAGGCAGCTGAACTCCAGCGAGAGATTTTCAACGTTCGTCAGTGTCTTTTCTGTGGGGCTACAGTCGCGAGCGGAGCCATCAACAGAGCAAACTTCACATTCTGGCTCCTCGGGATCCCGGCTGACGACCACAGTCGTGCTTGAATCGACGGTTACAACCATTGGTGGGCCCTCTAAAGTGGGGTAAAAGGAGAGAGATGGATACCGGGATTGGGTTACACCAGCTATTTGTAAATCCATCACTATGTTCTATTCAGTTTCAGTAATATTCAGGCAGTTTAGAATGAGAGGGAAATAATTAATTTGCCATTTTTCACGTAGTATAATGAACAATGTCAGTTTAGGGTTATTGCCTAATCTCATTGGTCTACTTGTGCCAAGTGCAAATGAATTATACTTTGTGCACGGACCGTGTATATATGTAGTATGAAAGAATGAGCTTGTGTGAGGCAACCTGTTGAAATGTAGAGATATTTAGTTAAAATATCCAGAAAATAGAGTTTGTATTCAGTAATTTGTTCTTACTCAGAGGACCAGCTGAGGTCTGGAACAACACCGATTCGAAGTTTGGTTTAACTTGCAGAGACACAACAGCTCCATTGGGCGCTTCTAATCGCGTCTCAGAACCACCTCGACAATACTGAGTCTGGTCCTTGGTACTCGTCTTGGATGTGGTCAGCGAATACTGAGATCCATCAGGGCACGGTTGTGACGTCTCCATCAGCCCATCTCCAAGGATGTCCAGACCCACGAGCGTGTTCTCCGGTGCCTTCAGCTCCCAGGTGAAGGTTCGGCTGAACTCTGTGAGGATGGAGGGTCGAGTTTCTACCGTTGTCGGGCTGCAGGCGTCCTTCGTGCACTCTGGAGTAAAATTAAAAGCACGAAAAGTTGCTCAGATGGTTTAAGAATTTCAGCACTTTAGGAAGGTGCATGTGTAAGTCCATTAATTATGTTGTGAATTCATCAGATTTCCCTTAAGTCGTTTTTAGTGAATTGTAGCACCCCAACAACACGCACCATATCAAAAGGTATCATGTGAGGTTGGACAAGAATGATGCAGATGTTTGGGTTCTTATCTCAAGGTAGCTAACACGAAGGTTGACCCCTTTGTCATTAAATGCACTAATGCCTTTGAAAGGCATCTTCCCATGGTCCTGATTGGTTCGCAAACAATTCCTGAAATGATGCCACGTAAACTCACCAATGGTCCGAGCGATCGTCACAGTGAAAGCCTCTATCGGCTGGGAGCAGTTGAACAGCAGTTTGACCTCCTCCTCAGGTACCAGATGCAGAGAGGGGTGGCAGGATATCAGTGTGTCATTCACCCCGCTGACTGTGCAAACAGCACATTGATCCAACAGCAGTGTGGAGATCGTCACCATTGAGCCGTTGTCCGGTCGGACCACCGTCTGTAGGCATTCTGAGGGAACAGATCACAGGGAGTTAGCTGCAAATATCCCAAAGATGCTGTAAACTGTGATCAGTAATCAAAAGATGTGACCTTTTGTTAGGTTGAGGAGAAATGATGACATGGAAACAATGCCAACTGAGTTGCATTAATGCCAATATGGTTTTGTTTCGACTGGACATCAGCTGATTGACAGCATGCTGGGACGCATTTTGACTTGGATATCGCACAAAAACACCTTAACAGGCAACTTTCTCATAAACAATATGCTTCATATTAGCTGTATGATCATCAAAACTAGAGCTGAAAGTCAGCTACTTTGATAACTGATTCATCATTTAAAAGTCATGAAAGTAATTCTTAGCTATGCTAGCGGTATATATTGCAACAACTGTTGAATTGATTGCTATGAAATTAAGTATTATAATAATAATAATAATAATAATAATAATAATAATACATTTTATTTATATAGCGCTTTTCATAAAACTCAAAGACACTTTACATTAAAATCATCAAATATAAAAGCAATACACTAAAAACATAAAATACAGTGGAAGAGACAGGAGGTTGGCATCAGAGGAGCGGAGCCGACGGGATGGAGTGTGGTGGTGAAGCAGGTCGGTGAGAGTATATGCATTCATGTTCCCCAGAGGATGAATCCTACTGACTTTGGGGACCCCCCCTGATTATTGCTTAAAAAGGTTCCTTACTGAGTGAAAGGACCAGGAAGTATCCAAGTGGCAGCCATGATAAGAGCTGGTCGAATACTCTAAATGCTAAGGAAAGGTGCTTCAATGCTTCCTTTCTTATCTCCTATAGCATAGGGTACACTTGACCATCCAGGAAAGGTGATTATGCCGTCCCACAATTCTTTACGGCAGCAACATTTAATGAGACACAATTTGGCCGTCAATACTGTTTGGACTGTTGGTCGACAAAACTAGGGGTCACCTTGGAAAACAGTGGAGGACACTTTTCACTATTTTCTAACATTTAGGATTAGATAGGAACGATGAGGAGGAAGGAATCAGATGAGTGGACATTAGGTGAACAGAACACTGTCCAGCTCTCCTGTACAACAATGTATGGAACAAATGAATCACCTGGGTAATATTTAGGCTACAAAAGGAACAAAACACACGCACACAAATGGTCACAGTTTGCTGTTGACCCTTGAGCAAACAGAGTGGTGTCAGGCACACCTATCCCCATGTTGTGTGGTGCCAGACCAAAGCAAAATTAATTGACTTGACATTATCATGAGTCATCTGAGTGCTGAGTAAAGAGAGAAACTCAAGGTGAACCTGTTTTTAAAAAGCTGTTTCTGTGATATATGACTCTTATGTGGCAAAAGCAAACATCTCCCTTTTTGTTTGTTTTAAATCTCAAATATTGATGATTAAAAAAAAAAA